AAACACTCTGCCCAACTAACTCTAACTGAACTACACCCCTTAATACTCAATCAAGTATTTGAAAACAAATACACAGCAACCCAGTGTTTAAAGCTCAGTTCCGATGCATGATAACTAATATCATATAAATCAGGAAGTTCGATGAAAGTGGGTGAACCCATTTTTGTAATTGGAAAAGGGTAGTTGAGAATAGTGTCAAAATCGAAAATTAGTGGATTTTTGGAGAGAGGAAAAAGAAACATACGATGCCAATTTTGAGGTGAGAAGAGAATCGACCGAGAATGGGTCGCTCAGCTGGAGCTTCCTTGGATTTGGCTGATTTGGGAGGCATTTTTAGCGGCGATTTGGAATGAAGGAGAAAGAGCAAAAGAGGGTCTTAGAATCTCAAACTTGTGCCTTGGTAGGGTTTTTGTATGAAGGGAAAGCCAGACAATATGCTCACTGTTCCTCCATCTCTCTTTTTTTCATTAATAAATAATAATCATTTTGGGGCTTAAAAATATACTCTATTATGATTATTTCTAAATTACTTTATCCCTCCCAATATTTTTTATATATACTTTTTCTTCTCCCTCTTCTCTATTTCGTAAATTTCCTTCTCCGAATATTTCACATACTCTGATTAAACACTTGCTTGATTATCTCTTTTATTTGTTTTTTAAAAATCAGATAGTTACATAGTGTTTCTTTCTCCATTACACTAATACCTGTTATTTTGTGGCTTAATAATCATTTTAAAAATTTATTTTACACTAATAGTTTATATAAAAATATATTTTTATATAATTTTAGTTTATAATAAATAATGATTATGAACATATAAATTATATTATAACTATATTCATAAAAATAAATGTTTTACATCTATAAAAAATGTTTTGTAAAAAAAATAGGAAAAAAACATTTTTTTGTAAAAGAATGATTTTTAAAATCACTTTTATTCAAAATAATTGTTTTAATTTATAAGTTAAATTATATTTTTAGTCTTTTATTTTTAAAAAAATATTTTATTTTTTATATTTCAAACTGTTCATTTTATTCTCTTTTAAATTTATATTATTTTGGCTCTTATGAAAAATTAATTATTTTCAATTTTGGAAGACAACTGTAAATATTTTTTTTATTAATTTGAAACATAAAATTTGTCTCATAAAAATTATGAAACTTAATTGATGTTTAAATCAAAATAATTTAATATTATTTTTTATTTTTATTTTTATTACTCTTTATACTTATTTTTACGTAATCTTTATAACTATTTTTAGTTCAAATATCAATTAAATTTAGTTATTTTCATGAAGGTGAATATGTTTTACATATTGAATAAGTCAGAAAAAAAAAATTAAGTTGTGTCTCAAGATTAGAAACACTCATGAATTAAATTGACCTTAATTTAAAATATAAATGATTAAAATTAAAATTTAAAAAATGACTAAAATAAATTTTAAAGATAGGATAAAGAATATACTTAATTGTTTGAATTAGTTCCTTGCTATGTAGTTAATTATAGTGTTGTGAGATTTATTCAATGTTTATTTTTTTTCTATTCCGAAAAGGCAAATCTGAAATATATTTTTTATATTTTACATATATTATGTTCTAAAACACCTGATCTAGACGTATATATATATATATATATATTCAATTTGATATATGCAAAAATAGTGTTCTAAAACAACCATTAGTTTGAATATTTTAATTAAGAAATGAATGCATGAAGCAAATTGACGGGTGCAGAAAGAAATTCCCCTCCTCGATGGGTTCACCATGTTGTTTCTGACTAAAATGGACTCAGATCAAGCCCAAGCGATGTCATTTTCCACTTCAAATAATAATAGTGATAAAAAATATATAAAAATTTAATCATTCATATATTGTCAGTGTAAATTTTTTTACAATGACAACCAATCATATATTTTAAAGTTATTTATTTTATTATTATTTCATTAAATAAGTAATTAACATAGCACTATTAAAAGATATGATTGTTTATCGGTGTAAAATAATCTTACGCTGACCGTATATAGGTGATTAACTCTATAAAAAAATTCATAGATAATATTGAGTATTGACAATAATTTTTGTGAGAAGCATATAAAAGGTAGCGGTATACATGAATCCGAATTCAGTGGTCCAGTTTTTAAGTTATTTTTTTAATATATTTTTTATTTCTTAAATTTAAGATAAATTTATTCTTATTTTTTTATGTAATTTTTTAAAAAAAATCTTGTTTTAATCCATCACATCATCAATAAAATATTTGAAAGTAACAGATTAAAATAATTATATATCATTAATTAGATTTAATGTGATTTTTTAATGATAAAAACATTAGTAAGTAAATTTTATACGACAATATTTAAGAAATTTTTTCACAAAATTTGAGTATAAGAATTAAAATAATATTTTTTGAAATTATAGTACTAAATAGATCAATTTTAAATTTGAAAGTCTAAAAATAAATTTACCTTAAACTTGAAAGACTAAAAACAAATTCACCTTTTGAGAAACTCAAAACATATTTAAACTTTATTTAAAAAAAACTAAATATAGGTGTATTCTTATAAAAAAAATTAAAAACTAAAGAAAAATTTATTTAAATGAGTCTCATTAGTCAAACTAATTTACTACAAGTTTGAGTTAGGTTGAGTCATTAAAATTTAACTTATTTTAATTATAAGAAAATTTTTGAGTCAGACCACTTCTAATCAACTCATCATGGACTAATATGTGATGAACTAAATTGACTCATTGGTTGGTTCACCTGGTATTTTTATTTTTTTTATATTTTAAATTCTCAAATTTAAAATTTATGTAATTATACAATAAGTAAATTACACTCTCTTTTCCTGAGAGATAATAATATTATGCTATTTTTTTCCTTTTATGTTAAAAATCATTGTCTCTTCCCTCAACAAATTCTAATACACCACACTAACACTTTACCATTTTTTTTTTTCAAGTTTCCATTCAAGTTTTGTCAACTTTCACTTGAAAAAAAAATACTAAAATATCTTTTACATTAATATCCCATTAAAGATGTAAATGTTGCACTTTAAAATAAATATTTTATTTCGTTAACAAATACAAATGTTATAATTTAACAATTGGTCTCTCTGTGAAAAATAATTTATCTCTTAATTTATATGTTTAATAGTTATTTTAAAAATAATAAAATTTTCAAAAACTTATTATATATTTTAAATAAAAAATTTATTTTTTAAAATATTTTTAAAATTTATCAA